CCTACAAATTCCTTTTAATAAGTAAAACAATCTATTTCTCACTCACCCTTTCATAGCTTATGTCTTTTTCTTTCTTATATTTTCTCCCCTGCCCACCCCCGCTTTTTTTCTCCAAGACAGAATCTCACTCTGTCACCCAGCCTGGAGTGCAGCGTGGTACTGTCAGAGCTGACAACAGCCTCCATGTCCCAGGTTCAAGCCATTGTCCCACCTCAGCATCCCAAGTATCTGAGACTTCAGGCATGCGCCACCATGTTCTGCTAATTATTTTATTCTACTTTTAGTAGAGATGGTTGTCCACTATGTTGTCCAGACTGGTCTCAAACTCCTGGGCTCAAGCGATCCTCCTGCCTTGGCTCCCAGAGTGCTGGGATTGGGATGACAGGCTGAGCCATTGTGCCACCCATCCTCCTTTTGGAATTGTTATTTCTTCCTGGCCTCAAAAAAACTTAAGGTAGAAGACTGGCATTTTATTACCAAAGTAAAACATTCTTAAGTTTTAGGGACATTCTACTTCAAAAGGGAACTTTAGTAATGTCAACTGAATGTGCTGGTAAAAAAAAAAAAAGTGCAAGCAAAATATTTATATTCATGCACATTCAAAATATGAGTAAACCTTATGTTAGGATAGCCAATATCCTGAATTTTCAATGTATTTTTCTTTTCTGGGAACATGCATTGAAATTGTGGGCTCAACTTTCAAATACATTAAAAGGTTGAAATTTTACCAAAATATGCAAACTTTACAATTGAAGTTTGAAATTTTGCTATATTAGAGGTAAAAATCCATCTTTATGAATATTTTATTATAAATCATAATACATTTTATTATAATTAAATTAAAAATCCATCTTTATGAACTTTAATTATAATTAAACAATTTATTATAATTGTTGCTGTCCTCACGATAGTGAGTTCTTGTGATACACGATAGTGAGTTCTGGTTGTTTAAAAGAGTAAAATAAAGACATTTAAAAGAAAATGTAGTAGTTAAAAATCTGGATCTGAGAATTAGACATGGCTAAGTTTTTTCCAAGCTCTGTAATTTACTGCATGATTTTAGGCAACTTATACATATACTTTTTGAATCTTAGTTTACTCACCAGTAAGACAGGTCGATGTTTGGATCAAATTAGGTAATTTCTGTAAAGCATGTAAATTAAGGAAAGATGTGCAAAATTAAAGATTATTGTTATTATGATATTAGGCTAATTGATCCCTTTGTTATTTTTAATACACCATTTTAGGGTCTCAGGTACCATTGCTATGTATCTCTGGATAACATGAAAATAACCTACACACTTCTTTTCTAAATTCTCTTCACTATTTATCTCAAAGACCTGTGATATGCACAACACATGGTAGGATTATGAGTGAGCCAAGGGTGTAGGAACTACATTTCACACTTTCTTTGACATAAGTTGAACTAATAGTCTATTATTTCAGGTTATCAAGAAAATCAGTAATTTATTTTTCACTCCAGAAAGATCTTATGCAGATCCAGATAGTCAGAAAATCATCTGCTCTGAATGGTGAAGCAAATTTTTATTTAATTTGAAAACACCACAATTTTTTTTAACCTTCTTTAAAAATACAGGCATATGGGCTGGGCCCAGTGGCTCATGCCTGTAATTCCAGCACTTTGGGAAGCTGAGGTGGGTGGATCATGAGGTCAGGAGTTGAAGACCAGCCTGACCAATATGGTGAAATCCTGTCTCTACTAAAAATATAAAAAATTAGCCAGGCATGGTGGCACATGTCTGTAGTCCCAGCTACTCAGGAGGCTGAGTCAGGAGGATCACTTGAACCTGGGAGGTGGAGGTTGCAGTGAGCTGAGATCATGCCAGTGCACTCCAGGCTGGATGACAGAGCAAGATTCCATCTCAAAGAAAAAAAATGGACATGTGATATGGTTTGAATAAGTGTCCCCATACAAATATCATATTAAAATGTAATTTCTAATGGTGGAGGTGGGGTCTGGTGGGATGTGATTAGATCTGGGAGTGGTTTCTCATGGTTTTTACATCATCCTCCCTTGCTGCTGTCCTCACCATAGTGAGTTCTTGTGAGATCTCATTGTTTAAAAGTGTGTGGCATCCCCCCACCCCCCATCATCTCTCTCTTCCTTGTGCAGGCTCCCCTTTCTTCTTCCACCATGACTGTAAGTTTTCTGAGTCCTCCTCAGAGGCCAAACAGATGCCAGCATGCTCTCTGTATAACGTGCAGTTGTACAGGGAGCCAGTTAAACGTCTTTTCTTTATAAATTACCCAGTCTCATGTATTTACTAATAGCAATGTGAGAATGGCCTTATACAGCATACATTTTGAAAACCAACCACACAGTATTTGTAAATTGGATGTATAATTTGAATATATAATCAGTATTTGTAGACCATGTTTGTCCTCATACACTTGTATCATTGTGAATTATAGTAGATAATTCTCATCTCTGACATCAACATTTTAAGGTGATAGAAAGTTATGAGAAGAACAAAATGAATCAATCTTTGAATTATCTTTTTCAATCAAAAGCCTTTTTGAAAGCACTGGGATTAAAGAAAGTTTTAAAAGATGCTACTTATGACTATCAGGTAGGAATTATAAATAATTATATATTATGTAATTACCCTTTCACTCTTGTAAGCTATACTTTATTAAGTTCTAGATATTTCCCTTATCTTGAGAAACTAAGTTTTTTTTAAATCACCTCCTATCAGGTACTGAACAGCACAGTGTTATAGTATACCTTAACTTCTGTATGTATAATCTAGTAAAATTTCAGACAATGAACACCAATTAATTGGTATAGAAATATGCAGGTATGTGCAAATTGTGTCTGCTAAATTAGGATATTCAAAAGAAAGCAAAAATATTTTTAGCAAGGAATTCAAATGTTCAATGGGTATACTATTTTAAATCTGTATAGAAAGAATTCTATTAAATTACAAAAATATATCCCTAGAGGTTTACACGAAGTACCTATTTATTTGTCAGGAGAATGTTTGTGGGCCTTCTGGATCAGATGAACTTTCTTTCTTCCTTTGTGTTTTGGGAATGCATTCTGCATTTCCCACGTCCTTTATTTCTTAGGCTACTTCTTTCCAATTTGGCTGTACATGATGGCCTAGTGAGTTTCCCTACATTTTCTTCCTTGCAGATACCAAATCAAGCGCACATGCTCTTCCACAGATGAACTAATCACTGTGGATAAACCCTGGGAGTCATAAAAATAACTGCAATTTCAGATAGTTCCTGGGGTCTTGGTGTCCTTAAGAGCTACATTACTTCTATTTCAATCTGTCACTCCACACTGCACTAATATTCCTGCTGAATCTCTACCTGATTTCTACAAAGCACTAGAAACACACAAAATGAGAAACAGCAAAACAAAATCCCCAAAACCTCCCACATGAATTTATAGTAGAAATGAAGGGGGTGGTTCCTATTCAGCACTGCAGGCACATTGAAAGTAAGAGTAAAATGGCCCTGATGTCCTTCACCATGCTGTTTAGTTAGGCATCACTGCTTTCATTCCCCTCCACACTCTTCCTGTGCATTGCAGATGTGGCCCTCAAACTCACCTCTTTTTGTATTGCCTCAATCCCAAGAAGTCATCTTCCTAAACAAAGACTTCCTTCCTGAAAGAGGAGTTCTTATACTATGTGGTTTAATTTTGTTTTTACTATACTGCAACATAAAATGGCTAAGTTACTAAAGTTAAAAACAAATTAATAAGCATGCACTATGGTGTGCCTCTCAGGACCTGGAGAACTGAAAACTGTGCTTTCCTGTTTCTGAGAGTGCGGCTGGCAGGTGGCCTTCAGTTGTCAGCCCTCTTGCCTCCCAAGGTTAAAACCTTTCTAGGGCTGCACACATACAATGGCATATCTGTACTGGGCTATCTAGGCATGCCCCCCAACCCCACCCTTGGGCTTCAATTTGGGACCACCCTGAGGGACGAGTATAGCTTTCTCGTTGCCTGGGATATCAATCAGGAGCCTTTGTTGACACTTCATGGCAGCCTGACTTTTCCCTCCATCTCATCCAGGTTCTTTTCCTTTCTTTTCACAAACATAAATCCTTAAATTGCTCCCTGATAAACTTTCTGTATGCTAATCTCCATCTCAGTATGCTTCCTTTGGAACTCATCCTGGGACAGGTTCTTAATTAGTGTTCCTCCATATGGTTACCAACTGTCTAAGTCAGATGAGACCCCAACAACGCTTTAAGGCAAATCCAGACTCGCTCTTCTCTCAGGAGATTCTGCAGGGCAGGCTCAGTTGCTCAGATGCTCAGACAGTGTTCTTGGGCATATTGGTGTGGGAGCCAGGCAGCATTTTTAAAAGATCCTTAGAAATTCTGCTATGTAGTAACTTTAAGGACCACTGGCCAATAAATTCAACCATTTTCCATCAAGTCCTTTCCACCTTCCTGGATGACTCTTACTGTAACAAACCCCTGCCAACTCTTTGGAGCTTTTACTTGTGCTTTATTTGGACAATAGTGTTGTTTAATGATCATCTGAGGAGCCAGGTTTTTTCCACCCTGAGACTAATGAGTGACTTCAGTCTCCTTAGCTCACATTACAGCGCCTCCATTCCTTAGGGTCACTATATGATTTATTCACATATTGCATCTTTCCTAGAGGACTAGTCATATTAAAAATAAGGTTTGACAATAGAAGAATCAAATGCAAAAACAGTAAAAGATAGTATCCTTCAAAGGACAAAATACGTTTGTCACACCATTTAATAATTTGTCTCACCATTAAGAAGTCATAGTTATAATAAATTATTATAACTATGAGAAAAACAAAATCAACAAGCAAACATATCATAGAACAAAAAACACGAATAGCTCCATCTCTGACCTGTTTCTCTGGGTTGTGACATCAGTATGTTCTGAGACAGCTAAGTATTAGCTTTTAGTTCATAGGAGAGATACACTAGTCGAGGTTTCAACTGAAGTAGCCTTTTTTTAAATAATACACATGACACCCATTTTTCCAAGTTATTGATTTAATATTTTAAACCTAACATTTATACAGCCCTTTCCACTTTATAAGATACCTTCACATCAGTGGTCTCATTTCATATTCTTCAATTGTGCTAAATGATTTCATCAACTTGGCGATACTGGTATTAAGCTCTTGTAAAGAATGTGATTCTGATTAACAAAAGCAATTTGATATATTTGCTTCTGTGCCCTGTACATCCAGTTATTAAAGTTTAATGTTGCATGATGACCTAATTTCTGAAAGATTCCTATACATGCAGTCAAAGGGTTTAAGAGGAATGATACCATTAAGAAGGGAAATATTAGAAAGTAGATATAGAATTAGGTGAGTAGGCTAAAATGAATGATTTTGCGCACATTAGCTGAGTTATTAAATCTGCACTTTTTATGCCAAAGTCCACAAGAAAAATCTTCAGAGTAATAAAGTTTGATCTCTTTAGGATCTATTGCTTCCAGGCAATTTAATCGATTTTCAGAATTTCTGTCGTTCCAAGTTTCCTGGATGTACTAGGATATTCTTCCAGAGCTGGAAGTTAAGGAAACAAAGTTAACAGATGTTGAAACATTTTTTGGGACCAGAAATCAAGCACAGTTCTACTTCCATAAACTTGACTATAAGGCCCAAATATATCATATAAAACATATTTAATGCTGCTTTTAATAATGATAAAAAGTTTGAAACCCAGAATACAGATAATTTAGATTTTTCATTTTTTATGAGGTAGAATAAAGTCTCTTACCAACATAAATGTGTATACTGTAAGGGCAAAAAAATATGTATGATAGAATTACAAAGTTCTTATGGAAGTTTTATCTGAAGCCCTTTCAAATAATGTTTGAAAAAATATGAGAATAACCTAAAACTTAAAAATCTTTTGACAGGGAAACATTTTCTTACTTTGTAAGTTATTGAAGAATATAGTGTAACAAGTATAGGTAGGTAGATAAACATGAACATGTCTTCCTAACAATAGATAACAGTAGCTAACTTGTAATGACATGTTTACAATGCCCCAGGTGTCCCCTATTCCACAGACAAGGACACAGAGAGACAGAACAAATTACCTGAGGTTATGCAGCTATTAAAGGGCAGAGGTGGGATTTGAACCCAGGGAGAATCATACTGGTCTGTGTGCCTCTGGCCACGTTTAATTTCTTCTCAAGGCACTTGAGGATGTTTTAGTGTTCCAGAAGGCCAAGAGTTAGTATATTAGGGAAACAATTTTTTTTTTTAATCCAAGCTATGTTGCATAAAGAAGCAGAGGAAAAGATTCATATTTCTTAGTGTAGAAGAAAATGAGTTTTATCCCAGCAGACTAAATGTCCCCCAAAGCCTGGAAATGTTACTTTGATTTCCAAAATTGTTCAGCTTACAACTGGAAAATGAAATATGTGGGCCAGATATGGTCAGTAGGTCTTGTTTTGTGTGTGAATGAGATTGTCCATAGTGGCTGTGTCAGTGCGCCTGGCAGCTTTCTAGACTCTGTAGAGACTGATGAGTAAGAATGCTGGGAATATGTCAGTCTTGGCATAAGCAGTAAAGGAACTTAGTGAGTATAAGAAACAAACGCATTTTTACAAAGTTTCCTCTCACCCTGGGGTCTCCCATTCATCTCCTCCCTGCCCCCGCCACACACCCACACTTCTATGCTTAGTGTTTCACAGGGTATTATGGTTCCTTGTAAATTATGTGATTCATTTTTAAAATTTAGATAGAAATAAATTAAATATTTAATTTAGCTATATAAATATTTGACTGTCTTAACACCCCTAAATGGCAATCCTATGTGGTTCAACAAATACACACATGGTACTATGCAAAAGAGCTGCTCTTTCCTTTGTTCACTCGGCCCTGTTTTTTCACTCAGTGTCTTCTAGAGATAAGTGTGAGCTCTGGAGCTAGACAGTTGGGCTTAATAAATCATGGCTCTGCCACTTACTAGCTCAGTGTCAGTGGACAAGCCACCTAATTTCTCCTACTAGAGCTTCTCCATCTCAAGCAATCAGGGAAAATAAAAGTGACCTTATATACCTTAATATGTATTTCATGGACTCTGACACTTTGATGTTAGTGCTTTCCTGATGTTATCAAAAAGCATCAATGTAATGTTTCACAAAACTACAGCACCTTGAGGGGTACACGCTGTTAGCTGTATGAAGCTTCTTGATCTTAGAATTGTTAAAATGTAGGAAGTAATCATGAGTCTGTAAGAAGTGATGAAGTGATTACTATAATGATTAACTGAAGTAATATGCCAAGTCCCTAGCACAGTATCTGTGCACATGGAAAGAAGTCAGTATTAATAAATCCGTCCATATTATTGGATGTGTATCTGTCCATGGGTTTGTGTAAGACTGGCAATAATTTTGGTTCAATACAGCCTCTAAGCCCATGTTTTCATCAACCACAAAAGAGGTCCATTTAATTTATAGTACTCACACAGGACCTGAAGAGATGGGGCTTGGATTCAGTTTTATTTACTCCAAAGGTTGCAGAGACACTAGCGCAGTGGTATGAAACTAGGTATCCCAGGTGAAAAAGCTCTGGGACAAAAGGAAAACATTTCCTTCAGTCTGTGGTGGTTGACAGTTTTATAGATACCTAAAAATTAAGATGGAGATAAAACAGGAAGAAAATGAAACAAAAAAGACATTTAAACAGTCTCAACCAGTCCCCAAATACAGAAGCCATTTAAAATGAAAATAAACAAAAAATATTCTTATTCAATAATGTTTTGCTGCTGACCATGGATGTTAATAAATGTCCTTATCATACCTAATAAAAAACTGTTAAAAAAGCAGCAAACTCTTAAATTGTACTATGCTAACTGCTTTTCTCAAAAAGTAGAAACTAGAAAAAACAAGCTGTCACTAATAAATATATATTAACCTACAAGATAAAGGTTAACATTCTTAAACTTGCAGTTTTTTATTCAAAGTTCCTTAGTTGCAGAGAAAGATCAAGTAAATTACTGTAGAAGCTGACATCCATTTCATAATTAAGTTCGTCATGAATTCCTGAATATATGCTTTTAAAAATTACTTGAGAACAACATGTCCAAACTTTAAAACCTGATTAACTGAATCTAATATATCAAATCTATGTTGGCTTCCAGTAACAGAATACCTCAAAGGATGTCTTCCATCATGTTTCTGATTCACAAAGATGTTCCTAATAAATCGGCTTTACCTCTTCCCCTCCTTCTGCCTTCCCATCCAATAGTGGGCACTTAAAATATCAGGCCAGGTGTGGTGGCTTAAGTGGCATGTAACCCCAGTGCTTTGAGAGGCTGAGGCAGAGGATCACTTGAGGCTAGGAGTTCAAGACCAGTATTGGCAACATAGTGAGATGCCTTTTCTAAAAAAAAAAAGCCAGTCATGGTGGCACATACTAGTCCCAGCTACTCAGGAGGCTTAAGCAGGAGGATGTCTTGAGCCCAGAAGTTTGAGGCTGCAGTGAGTTATGATCATGTCATTGCACTCTAACTTGGGTGCCAAAGCAAGACCCTGTCTTAAAAAAAAATTATAATTCTCATGTAGACTTATTTTTTGCTAAAACAAATTATAAAAAATGTATTCTCAGATTTTAAGTTGTACCTATCATCAGCACATCCATTTGTTGTACTAGAAATTAAAAGCATTGGAATTACTTTAAATGCACAAATAATCTCTCTCAAATTTGTTTTAGCTGCTGTAGCATCATCTCTGTTTCCTACCCATTCAGTGCTTAACTAAGCTGGCTAACAAGCAAACAATGGTGATCTGTGAGGTTTTATTAAAAACCTTACAGAAGCACTGATGACCCATGAAAAAGCAGTACCTGTAAGACTCAATTTGCTGCATTAAGAAAAAGAGAGAGAAGTGTTCTTCTTTCTCTCTTCTAAGTCCTTTCTTGATGGGGGTCAGTCAACTAAGACTTTCTAGGAAAGAAGTTTTTTTGTTATTTGCTGTTGTTGCTGAGGACATGGTGATAACTGTCAGGTGATTTATATATTTGTATGATCTTAAAGTCATCTTGTATGAGTCAAAAGTGACAGCTCAGGATGGTATGAAGTCTTAAGTCTTCCCGTTTTCCTTATGAGTTTAGTCTTCCAATTTTTTCTTTGAATATGAAAATGATGCTTTCTCCCCCGAATGAAGAAAAACTTTTAAATCAATACTATAAAGCTATAATGAGGTAAACATGAGAGGGGAAATAAGCCTTACTTAATACCCAGATCGGATTAAAAAGAAGAGACATTAATTAATATGCTGGTGACCTGGAAATACCTGGGAGAGCGATAGGAACAACCAGTGAGAGCCTAGTTCACTGAGGTTACATTTCAAAATGCAGGATGGTTTTAAAAGGTGTAAAATGCAAAAATCAAATCATCATCTGGACTGATGTTTTGACCAATCCATTGTTAGTGTCTGTTTGAAAACGGCTTTGAAATAAAGTTTTTTTTTTTTTTTTTTTGAGACAGAGTCTCACTCTGTTACCAGGTGCCAGGCTGGAGTGCAGTGGCAAGATCTTGGCTAACTGCAACCTCTGCCTCCTGGTTCAAGCAATTTTCCTGCCTCAGCCTCCCAAGTAGCTGGGATTATAGGCACGTGCCACCATGCCCAGCTAATTTTTATTTTTTAGTAGAGACAGGGTTTCACCATGTTGGCCAGGATGGTCTTGATCTCTTGACCTTGTGATCTGCCCACCTTGGCCTCCCAAAATGCTGGGATTATAGGCGTGAGCCACCACGTCTGGCAGAAATAAAGTTTTAAGACATATATGTTTTTAACAATGTAAAAGAAAAAAATTATTCAAAAGTTATTAACAATGAAGAGATGAACATGCTACATCAGATTAAAATGAACATATATTTGGATAAAACAAAAACATCAAGAAAGCAGCTATGTCTATATTAATATTAAATAATGTGGAATTTAGAAATGCAAGTACTGAAAATTACCAAGCAAGAACTGGTAAAAATTACAAGCCAAGTTTTAAGCATATATTAACATGGTCTGGAAATACATCCAAAAAGCTTAGGGGAAACGTTAATAAATCCCTTTCAAGAACTGACAAACCAAATGTAACTAAAACACTAGTATTTGAAAAACAAATAATAGGCTTGGAGAAATTGTGTACCCAATAACCAAATGAATATTCTGTATCAATAAATAAAAAGCTAGTTCTTTTAACAGAATAACAACATTTGACTACCCTGATGAAGAAAAAAGTAAAAGAAAAAAGGGAAAAAACATAACCTAAGGTATGAAACAGATTTTATGAAGATAATGCTGTATGCAATTTTCTATCAATACATTTTTAAAAAGCTAGATGAAAGAGACTTTTCAGGAAAATGTAAATTGCGAAAACTGTTCAAAAATAAGTGCAACATTTGAATTATACCAGTTCCTACCCAAGGAAACCTATCCCCGCAATGGTGAAATCACAGGAGAATGGGAGCATTTTTAATGGAGAGTTCATTGTGATGTAGATAACCCAGAGCACAGAAAAAATGGCAATCTTCCTAATTACTTATTTTAGGCTAGCATAAGTCTGAGACTAAAACTGAGCAAAAATATGGAAAAAACAAAGTATATATGCACATATAACTTAAAATTCCTAGGTAAAACAGTAGCAAATCAAATATGTCAACCCATTGAAAGAATAACATTATAACCAAGTAGGGTTTATTCCAGGAAAGTTCAATTAAGTATTAAAAAATCTAATGGTATTAATGATATAATTCACTCTATTAATGGTTTAATACACAATCATCTATGTAGATGAAGAAAATGTATCTTATAAAATTCAACATATACACAGAAAATCTCAAAGTAAGCAAAGTATACGCTTTTAGCTATACTAAATGCTATGCATAATCGTAAAACATACAAAGCCTTCCTATTATAGTCAGGAATAATAAAATAATGCTTGTAATAATCACTGCTACTAATGGTACAGAAAAAAACACTATCTTGGAAAAAAAACTGTCATTAATTGCAATTATGATTATTTGTCAGGAAAATCCAAAAGAATTGCCAAAAAGCTATTAAAAGTAATACAACAGCAAAATAAGACAGTGACAAAATAAATAAAAGTTGGTAAATTTCCAACAGCAGTATATCACTAGAAAAAATGCTATGAAAAGTAGAGCCCACTCACAATAGCAATGAAAAATATTAAAGTATAATAAAATGAGATGTTTAGTGAAATTCCATGAAAGTATGTATGATGTAAAAAGTGAGAACTATATTATAGTATTGGATAGGATAGTAGATGAAACTGTTAGCTTTTCACAATTCAATCAAATTTCGAATAAAATTTGTTATGGAAACTTCACAAAATATTTCTACAATTTATGCACAAGGGAAAATGTGGAAAAAGAACATAAGAAATTTTGAGTGGCTTGTTCAGAATTGCTATTTTGGTGTAACAATTGAATATTGTACAGGAATTTAAAGATCAGTGGAACAGAATAAAAGATCCAGAAAGAAATACATGCTTCTGTCACAACTGTGTATATGGTAAAGAAAGCATTCGACATGGTTGGGTTTAGGCTGAAGTTTTTAACAAGTAGTGTTTGGAAAATAGAACTTTAATCTAGAAATGTTTTAGAAAGTTAGATTTCTGCATCATACAAAATCATTTCTTGGTAAATTAAAGCGATAAATGCAAAACAATGGGAAGAGAACAATATAGAATAATAATCTTATAGTTTAAAGGTGTTAAGATTCTCAAAAATCTAGTCATAGAATAAATCACATAAAAATGAAACTTTCTATAAACTTCTGTAAGAAAATTTACTAGATTACCAAAAGATCATGAAAAAATGCATATAAGGAGCTCTTACTAATTAATTAGAAAAGGGCAAATAAGAGGGTAACTAAAATACATAATTTGAAGAAACACAAATGGCTAAAAAGCATAAGAAAAAAGTCTCCAATCCCCTCATTAGTAATCAGAAAAGTCTAATTAACATGAGGTATCTTTTGTTGCCTATCATAATGGCAAAACTTTTGAATGTGTGTTATGTCTAGGACTGGTGAGGGTAAGTGTAAATATATTTTTGTACACAGGCTGGTGGGCGTGTAAATGGGCATAGTTTTGACTTAGAGAAATTTGGCAAATGTCTTACTAAAATTTAAACTGCACATACTTTTCTCATGGAAAATAACCTATTTCATAGGGGTTCTAACATTCTGTATGCATGTTTTTTGTTAGCAATGTTGCAGAAGAGATCCAAATCACCAGGAATGGCCTAGAAAAACATGTTACTATATGGGATCCATAAACCGTGTTCATAAATGTGTATTTTCAAGGTTTTATTATGTCACATGGTTACAGTCATTTTACAGAATACTTGAAACTAGTATTGTGGTCTAACTAAAAGGCTAACTTTCAAAGGAAAAAGAAGGCGGCCCTGGCTAGATTGTCTTACATTTTGTGGTTACTATTTTGAGCTGCATAAAATCCTTTTGCCAGAAGAGGAAGTTGCTGGCTTTTAGAAAGCCTTGTCTTCTTTCAGCTAAAAGGCACTATTAAGCATCCTCAAACACGTATAATTTCAGCTATATTTAATTAACTTATCTTAACATTCTTTAATTCAGCTATTCCATCTCCAAGCCTCTACTAGTATTAGAGAAATACTCCCATGCAAAGAGACATGCACAAGGATGTTTACTGTGGCATTGTTTTTAATAGTGAAAAATTTGGAAACAACAAATTAGGAAATGTTTCAATAAAACTATTATGTTCATATTTCAGAATACTATGTAGCAGTTAAAAAGAATGAGGTAGGTGTACATATATACTAATATGGAAAAATTTCCAAGACACACTCTTAATGAAGAAAGGCAAGTTACAGAATACATGGTGTACAATCTCATTTTCATAAAAACAGAACAAAAGAAAATCATTATAGACATGTGTGTGTAAAAATGCTTTTTGGAAGAACTAGAAATGAGATCAACAAGCTAAACAGAAGTTCCTTCTGTAGCATGGCAGGGGGCTTCCATTTTTTATTAGTTTACTAGTTTTTTTTTTTAAATAGACTGTTTTAACAAAGAAAATACAGCTGTGTATTGTGCCTACAAAAATTAACAATTACATTTATTGACTGTGTATATATAAAACCTTTATCGTTAATAAAGTTTATATATATATACACGCTAGATATGGCCTGAGAATTGTACATCAACCATAAGAAAATAAACAGTGTTTATCTAACTGAATCTGAAAATACAGTTCAGTTTCGTTTGGATGTACAACAGCATGGAGGGACAGTCTAATAATCAATTTTAGAAAAGACTATTCCAAATAGCAAATTTAGTTTAAGTTTCATTATGGAAATTCCCAGAGGCAAGCTCTGGCATTTAATGATTAGAAAAGTAACAAGAAAGTATTGCCTACAGAGTGAATCAATAGAAAAGTAAATTTCACTAATATAAAATAACCTTTATGTTAAGCCAAAAAATGTAGAGTTAATTAGAGGAGGTTATAAGTGTTTCCAAAGTGTACAGTATAAGACTAGATGGTGTGATAGAAAAATACAAGTGAGAATTCCTTTGTCTCTTAAAATTCAGAATGAATCATAGTAAGATACATAACAGTTTTACACAATTTAGCAAGATTGTTTCCTTTTGTTCTTTTCCAACCATTACTTTATCAATCTGAAGCAAATGAAGAATTCATTGAATAAAAGCCAGTCAAGCCTAAGTGTGTTTCACTAAGTACATAAAACAGTGGCTTCAATGAATTGCACAAGAATTCCAGGTGTCCACTGCAGTTTCCAGGTTCAGTCCTATAACCCACTTTACTAAAGTTTCCTTTATGGTGGTAGCTGTAATGGGAAAGGCCTGTTAGTCTATAACAGTTAGCTTGAGCAGAAACAAATTAAAACGTGTTATATTAGGAATTAACACTGAAGTTCACTGAAGGTAAAGGATGTGATTTTTCTATCACCACCAGTAGGGTCTATTCCTGAATCACTTGATGTTTTTCTTCTATGATGATGGGAAGGTCCAAAACAATTCTCTCTGCTGCACACCATACATGGTTGCCATGCTACACATTTCAATATTGAATAGTGCAAGAACAAATACATACTTTTTGTACTATTGTTCTCCAGTACTTGGAATTTTTGCAACATTCAAAAGCAGCTCAAGTAGAAAAGAAAAAGTTCAAACCAGTCACCAGATCCAAAATTAGCATTTTATTCAGAATGCTGGGGTCAGAGGTGTATCATTTATATTCTGGTACACAATACAGAGGCAAAGCTGTTGTCAGAAGTCTCTCCAGTTTAAAAGCTTTTTTCCCCCCCATTTTTTAAAAAAACACACAGTAGTGCCACCACCAGTGTCAAGCCACCCCTTTCTTTTCTTTCCTTTTTTTTTTTTTGGTACAAATTATGTAAAACATTTGTGCTAAGAACTTTTCTCCCTCCCCAAACAAAAAAGAAAATAAAAAATAAAAAAAATTAAAAAATTAAAAATTGAGTATTCTAACTACAGCTCAACAATTGAATCAAATGTCACTTTGTTTTGTAAATACTTTATCCATAACGAAAGATATAAACATGCAAAAAACCTGAATCCATAGTCCAAATAATACATACACATGTTCTGAAGTTTCTGCACTTCTCCATAGACTATGCCAGTAAAACATTATGTACACATACCATTTTTACAGTGAAGTGGAAAAATACAGAAATAAAAAAGTGTACATGGATTAAGACCAAAATGTGTCTAACATTCTAGTTTATGAAAAAATTCAATTTTGCTACAAATTGGTGATATGAAAACTCCCTTTATTTGCAACCAGCTGAGTAAGTTTTAAGATTTTAGTGAAAAACAAAAACAAAAACAAAATTAAAGTCTAATACTAAAAGTAATG